CCGGGCCGGGCCGGGCCGGGCCGCCCTGTTCCCGTGCCCGAGGGCCGCGCTCGCGGGTCCCGGGCCGCCTCTCGCGGCTGCTGCGGGACGGAGGCGGCCGGGCTGGGTCGGGCCGGGTCCCCTCCCGTTCCCCGTCCGGGCCCGGCCGCCGGTAGCGCTCACGCTACGTTGCACCGCGTGCACCCGCCCCCTCCCCCAGCCACCCAATAAAAGCGCGAGTAGAGAAGACGAGCAGCAGGCGCGGGCCAATGGGGAACGCGCGTGGGCGCGTCGGGCAGGCAGCAGGGTAGGGTGCGTGGGAAGGCTCTGGAAGGGCGGCGGGGGAGGGGCGGCGCGAGCGGGCGCTACCTGAAGAAGAGTGTCCGGTACATCTGGTGCGCCTCGTAGTAGTCGCCCTTCTCGACGCTGGCGCGCAGCTTGCCCTCGACGCGCTGCACGCCGCCGCGGTTCCTGCCGCCGCCGCCCTTCGAGGCTTCCTGCTCCGCCGCCGCCGCCATAATCGCCGCCGCCATCGACGCGGAGGGGGCGGGCGGGAGGGGAGGGCGCAGACGCGCGCAGCCCCGGAGCGGCTCGCTGCCCGCCTTCCGCCCACTGCGACGGCGGCCCGCGAGGCTCAAGAGGCGTGGCTTCGCGTGCGGGGCGGGGCTGCGTCATGTGAGCGGGGGCAAATGGCGTGGCCCCGCCCCCCTGGCAACGCGGACACAGGGCCCGAGGCTGTCAGCGGGCCGCAGCCTTTCTGAATTTTTGGTTTCTTGCTAAAAAATACGTTTCTGTAAGGAGTTTAGGGGAAGCTCTAGGAGGACCTTTAAAAAATACAACCTCCCGCTCTCTTCCAACAAGAAAAAGCTCTTTAGGGTGCTTTGGGTTAATCTGCACTCATGGCCATTGAGCTAGAGGCAGCTGTGGAAACATGTTGACAAGTTAATTTGATAATGTTTGCCTAACTCCTGCCCTCCACTTAGGTCAAAGAGCAGGGCTGGTGTTGCACAGGCTCCAGTGACTGTACCCTAAGCGTGAAGGGCAAAATGAGTGAAAAAAAAAGACTACTGCCACAACAGGGCTTGTAACCCATTATAACCCCCATTCCTCACTAAATTTATTTATATACAAAGCCAACAAACAGCTCTCCTTTTCAAAACCCACTTTAAAACACTTTCCTCAGGCAAAGGGAAGTTTGTTTTCTCTTTAACATTTTTCTCTTGAAAATTTTCAAGGTGTTCAGGGCTGCACTGCCAAAAGAATGAAGGAGAAGATACCACTATATACAGATATGTGCATACATTATATATATATATATATATTATTACACACACACACACCTTTCCTAGAGATGGAAAAGTCACAGTGAGGAAACTTTCACCACTGACAAGGTGCCCCATACTTTGTCCATCTGTGATCTATTGGGCAGGAGTAAAAAGGAAATAAACTTCAGAGGCAAGCAAAGCACAGGGATGAACAAGTAAGCTCACAGAGGATGGGTTTGGTTCTGGCTTACACCAACTAGCAGGACTTCTACCATGCAAAACCCTTTGGATGGGCAGAAACTCTCTTTACCTGTGCCTGGCCTCCTAGCCTTGTCCGTAAGAAGCTGGCAAACATACCCTGCTTCCTTACCCAGCTTAGAAATGCAGGTTTATCTTACTCTAGACACTGTCCTGCTAGACAGTGTAGGCATTTTCATAACTCTGAATAGGTAATTACCACCACTAAACCTGTCCCTCTTTGCCTCAACTTCCTCCCCCGTTATTGCAAGCCAGAGTCTCTGCCAAGCACTGCTGTTAAAACATGAACTATTAACCTATTACAGCCTCTGATGGTCTCCCATCAGTTATTTCAGCAGGTCACCACAAATACAGAAGAAAAACTTTATTATTTGTTCCAAATATTACATGCGCTTTCAAAAATTAAAACTCTTTATTTAAACATCTCAATAGCATCTTGTCAGTTTGTAGGCAGCAAAAAACAACAGAGACGTAGTTTCAAAAGCATTTACAAAAATACATTGCACAAAGTCCTATCTTGCTTCTTTAAAAAATAAGTTAGTGTTATTCAAAATATGCCCACCCCAAGTACGTAATTTCAATTTATACAGGATAATTCTAATTTTAAATATGTAACCTAAAATATGAAAACACCTGTACATGTTTTATCTAACTCCTCTGTGTAGGCCATAGGTTCTGTCTCTAGCTCAAGTGAAAATGATTTTCACGTGGAGCCTTGTTTAAACATTTGAGGACTGTTGTGCAACATACATTACTCTATTCAGAAAACCAGTCAGCAGTTCAATGTGTTAACAGTTCACGTGTTGTAACTAAGTCGACTAATCATAACAGCAAGATAAGATTTCTGCATACAAGTACATTTTAGGAATCTTTTCTGAACGGGAACTTCAAAGTAGCAATCTTAAGGGGATCAATAAGCAAAAGCAACTCAACCTAAGGACTGATTCAGTTCTATGAAAACACTCCTTGAGAGCAAATCATTATTCTTCTGTTCTTATCCCTAAGTTTTCTGGAAAGAACTAAAAAAAAAAAAAAAAAAGTATTGAAATACAGCAATACTGAACATGAGTTTTTCGCAACTGCAGAGTAGTGAGGTTTACTTCAGTCTTCTTGCTGTATCCTGCTTCATCACAGTACGTTTACTGACTATAAAATGAACCAGCTAAGGAGTTTTTCTCCCCCAAAAGATTATTTTCAGCAACTGAAGACTGTTCCTCTCTCCAGTGTTGGTTCCAAAGCAGCCTTGATACACTGACTAGCTAGACTGAAGCTGAGCTGTTAAGCCTGCTGAGCTGCTTAGTAAACATTAGTAGACAGCAATTAAATAACCTGACTGAATTTTCTATGGTTGAAAAACAAAATCTTAAAAATGATTTCAGTTAAAATTATCCCCGACTTTTAGATTGACTCATGGCCACAAGTTACAGTAAAGCATTCTCATTCGCTGGTGTTTAAATTAGTTTTGGTTGCATTAACTATCCCTGACAGTAATATTTATCATATTAAACAATTTACCATATTAAGCACTTATTTAATAAGCCCTTTATGATCCACCAAAAAGACGACCAAAAAGGTCATCTGCAGTGCAGACGAGGGTCATCTGCACTGCACCTCTAGCTACAGTCAGTGTTTAAAAGTGTACCACAGTTTTTGGCTTATTGTGTCAAGCTAACAGAAGTATGCAGTTGAATCCTGGATTAAGAAAAAAACAGATTCCTAGTTGCAGAAAGTGTGGTTTATTCTTTTAGAAAGCCTATACATTCATTTATAATAAAATAGGTGACACCTGTTTGCTAACTGAGCTTTATGAACCAGAGTAGCTTGCATGCAATATTTTTCTCAGCATGGACACGAAAATATGAAGCTAAGTGGCAATTACAAGCCGAGCACCAGAGCAAATAAATGTTAATACAGTTCTGCTGACAGTCTTCTGCCTTTATCAGAGGATCAGTAATTCTGTAGTATACATCTCACATCCTCATCCTTTACAGATTCCAGTGTTCTAGGTTTTCCAGTATATACAAATTGAAAATAAAATGTACAATGAGGAGAGGAAAAAAAGCTGTAGTGTAGAAGACTATTCGGCTGGTTTCCCATGCACTCTGAACCGATAAAGACACGTATACTCGGCATGTCCCCAGTTAGAAACAATTCTCAGTTCCACTATTTGGAATACGTTCTCATTTTTCTCCTGGAGGAGAAGGAAAGAGCAAACACAAACCAGAGTCAGGATTCTAAGAGATATGTGCACAACTGAAGTCGCTTTACAGATTCATGCCAATATTAACTTTTATCAATATCTAGATTACACCTTGGGAAGTTGATGACATGCTTTTGAATATAGCTTTCAATTACTTATTTGTGAAGGAAGACAGAAGGAAAAGCATGGAGTGGACTCATTCCGCATTTAGTGTCTCCAAACCATTTGTGTACCATAGCAGACTGTTTTTCTCCCATCTTATTGGTATATTTAAATCACAGTGTTTAAGGCAGATAAATTGAGATGGAAAGTATAGTGCTAAAGAGAATGGAGTCTTTCTATTCATCTATTAAGTACTACCATAGAAAATAATTTATCTCCTGACTATGTAAACACTGCCATCCAGACTTACCTTTACTGGAAACATCTGCAACGGCTCTCCTCCTTGATCATAAAAGTAGTGTCCAAGCAGCACACCTTCTTCTTGATATTCATCCTCTAGACCCTACAAAAGGAAGACAAAGTGTCTTGATCCCTCCAAATTTGAAATTAAAACCAGATACATGTCTATATATATCTCTGTATAACAGCAAGCAGCATTCAGAAGCCTTAGCAAAATCAGTATCGCTGTGGATAATATAAAGGCTCAGGATGAACAAGAATGAGAAACATCAAGGTTATACTAGAGAACTTGTTGAGTTGCTTAAAAATTGATGTTAGTCATAAAGACAGAATTTTCTCCCCTCAAAGATATTTTCTCCTCCTGTAAAAAACAAGGCAAAACAAACAACAACCTCAGAATGAGTTTTACTGCCTTGAATTCCTAGAATTGGAAGCTCTTCGAGAATATAAGCAAATCTAAAAGCAACAACAGAAACCTAAGTTTCTCTTTGCTGTTCCTCCCTCAAGCTCACTTTCCAAGACAGAAAACACAAGTATTCTTTACATTTACAAACATGAAATTGTTCACAGTCAGACTTACATATACAGAAAAGTTCTTAGGAGCACTGGTGATATTCCCTGTTGGTGAAAGGGCTTTTGGTATATGTTCCAAAGTAAAGGCAGTTGGGTAGATCTTCATTGAAAGCCTAACTACAAGATACCCCTGTGATCCTTTGAAAGCCCAGCAGTTTCCTGGATACATGTCCGGCTAGAAAACAGTTTAAGAGAAGGAAAAAATGAAGCATCTCCTTATCTTAAGGGTCATAATGAATTCTGAACTACCGGGAATAGCCTTAAAAGAGACACACTACGTGACAATCTAATCTATTTGGTAAATTACAACATAAAATTCCCAGCAGCTTTGATCCAAATCACAGCTTATTCTATAAAACAACGGGCAAAGAGAAAATAAGATGAAATTTCTCTGTGCTCGCTGGATTATGCATCGTCTTGGTTGTCCAGCACCAAAGGATATGGATTGCAGAGTTTCAACTGCACTTTCTTCAGGAAGACAGCAGATCTTCCCAAGCTAACAGCCATGTTTTGAAGAGCCATCTTGAGATTATTTCTCAGCAGGAATCCTCCCTGTGCCTGCACTTTGTACAAACCCCGTGCTAAATTCAGACTTTCATGGCAGGCTCAAGTATAAGCACCCAATAACCCAAGTATACTGGAAGAACCCCATTCACAAGAGTAAAGTTCAATCCCCAGGATCACAGACAAACAACCAGCATCCAAGGAGACAACCCAAGCCACTCAACATGTAGCGCTGCAGAGTTTATTTATCCTTTCATTACCTGAATCACCACTCTGGGAGACTGGGAGAAGTACCACAGGGGAATCCCAAAGAGGCTAATTAATGCTGTTTTAGTCTCATACGTTTCAGAGCAGCGAGTACTCAGAATGCTGCCACCTCAAAAAAGATAAGTCGGGTTAGCAGAAATATTTACTTGTTTCTTCTTCTCAAAGACTTTTTTTTTGAAGACAAAGATTCATAGCAGCCATGATGACTATACCAGTCATTTCCCATTATTTTCCTCAAAGATATATCAAAATTACGAAAATCTAGCAATCAAGTGCATTATTACTAGGATCAGCTGGTTGGATCAAAAGTAAAACTTTAAGAAAGGAGTATCCTTCCCTATAGAATCTATGGTATTTTAAGAAAGTGTTCATCCAATATATATTTATGTATATTTTTACCTTCTATCATCTACTATAGAGTTTGTGGCTAGTATATCACCCTATTAATAACAGGCAGATTACAGCAGCCTGACCACTAGGCAATACACAGAAGAATGTTGTATCTTTTAGTCTTTGCTTTTAGATTTTTAGTAGATTCAGTGTGTGCTATTTATAAACATTTCTTCTGCCATTTACCTCCGGATTCTAAGGCGAAATCCACCATGCCAGTCTTGTCTTGAGAATAGAGCTTCAGCGCATTGTTGACAATAATGCGTGCTTGCTACAGATAGGCACATAGAAGAGGAAAAGAAGGAGAAGAGAAAGATTTCTAGTAATACAAACTGATAGAAAATTGATGCAAGCAAATCTATGAAGCTGCATGCATCTTTTTGAGATGCTGTACTCAAACACATGCTTGAAAGTCTCTGTTAAGACACAAGCCATTTTTAATACATGTCTGTCTGGCTTAAAACAAACTCGCGCTGCATCTCAGTTGCTTTTTGCTTCAAGAGTTGCATTCTTTTCCCCACCTTCCCAAGCCATGGAGCTGCATTTTTTTTTTTTGGGTATGCTCACATTTGGGGAAACCTCCAGCTTTTAAGATGGTATACTTGGAGGGGAAAAAAGCATGTTCACATCAGACAAAAAAGCTGTGACCGTGAGGGTGTTCGAAAAGGCATTTTCTGTAGCTGTTCCCCATTTCCTTTAGTTTCTTAGGCAGGTGTTAAACCTGTTAAACCCACATTAACCATCATACTCCATAAAATGCCTCTAAGCTACTTTTTACCATTTTAGCTGGATTTTTTTTTTGGTCTTGGACTAACTTACCGCTTCCGTGATTCCAGAAACCCCTACATTATTCACAGCATTTGTGACTACTTCAGATGTTAATTTTTGGTTTGTCGATGACATATAAAGAGTAATATTCTTGAGGATTTGCAACTCTAGGTCTTGCAGCAGGGTCTGCAAATCACTTTTGCTCACAAAATTGGATGCAAGCCATTGAAGAAGCGATTCAGGAAAGTCTTCTTGTCGATCACCAAAGAACATTAGCCTGATGGATTCTTTCACCTGGGCATCTACCTAGAAGAAGATATTAACAATTGCAATAGAAATTAGTCTTTCTAAGCTACTAAGTAGTACGATATGTATAACATGAAATCAACACTGACTTTAAGCACTATTGACAGATCTAGCCTATGTTGATTTAAGCTGAAACAAGAGGGGCACAGAAAAACAGGAAAGAAAAAAAAGCAAAAACGAATTCTTCCTGTATGGTTTGTCCTCCAGATCAAACAAAAGCAAAGATATACAGAGCAAAATATACAGTTTACATCTGGGGCCTCAACAGTTCAAGGAAGGCACTACGGCAACTTTAAGGACAGCAGTTTACTAGTTCAGGATAGTTAACTTATGGATATGCTTTGATTCCCTATACTACTAGTCAGTGCATCTTATAATAATACTCAAATAGGGTATTTTGACCAAAGTTGACAACCCAACATCAACACTTACTTCTCTAGTTCACTGGGTGCATTCTAGTCAGAGTTCTAAGCAGAACCTACAAAGGGCTTTGAAGAATTTAAATGTGGGTTTTGCTTTTTTTTTTTTTTTTTTTTTTTTTTTAAATGACTCAAATCCAAATAACAAGCTGTTGAATTTATTTGAATTACTTCTCCAAATGTGCATGATTTTGCAAGGTATATGGGTCATAACAGCAAAGTATAGTGTACAAAAATGCTACTGTATCATGTCTTAAATGCAAATAAAATTGCATTGCAGTACCTTTCAGGAAAGCTGAGTAAACCTAAGCAGTACCAGGTTTTACCGGGACAGTTACTGAACTTACTTTTTCATGGATGACATCTATTTTCTCGCAGCTAGTCTTCACACTTTGCCAATTTAACAGCTCTGATTTCATCTGAGACAAGTCTAGCTCCAGCTTTTTAACTTTGGATAAAAGGTGATTATGTTCCTCACCATCTCTGACAAAAACAAAGAGTCAACAAGTAGAAAAAAATAGTTTCAATCATTCCATCAAAATCCAAAGGAACACGGCAGTTGTCTAAAAGTCTTTCTTAGTTCAGTAATTCACCAAGAAACACTGTGAATGTTCAGTTGAGGTGGGAGGGAGGGAGACAACATCCTAAAGTCATTATTAATTTAAATAAAAATTCACCAACTAATACTCTTTTTTCCTATTCCCAAAGGGAAAGCTACTCAGTGAAGTGCTGCGGAGTTTTTCCTTGCATTAAATATGTAGGTTACAGTACAGCTGACAAGCCAAAAACATGGACAAAAAACAGTCTTGATAAAAGCTCAAGAAGTTAATACAAAGCCTATCAAAAAGTAGGTATTATACACTTCACTAAGCAAATTGAGGAAAAATTCTAATCCCTAACAGATGTTACGCAGGGGTAGTCAACTGAAAAAACAAGAAATGGGTTAGCTCTATTTCACAGACTAACTTCTCTCATCATCAGTTAGTGCCCATATTGAAAGAGCAAAGCTTATTTGAGTGCTCATACCGTGCTGTTTTTGCTTTGGCCATGTCAAGTTCCTTCTGGATGTCCTAAAAATACAATAGGTTGTTTTAATATACAAAGGGCACTGCATATAACAGAAGGACAATAAAGTACTGCATTGAAGATGATGCATTTTAGCACCACTTACGTTTATGTTCCTGAATTACAGGGAATATAAAATTCTCGGTTCTGTCTCACCGTACAGTGAATAACCAAGCCCCAGGGGTAGAAACACAGCAGCAAAAAACCCACCACTTTAGGTAGGGAGAAAGAGGAACAAGAACAAAAAGACTGAGATAGAAAAAACTGCAATTATTACCAATAGACCACTTAAATCCCTCAGAAAAAAAAAAAAAAAGAAAAAAGTTACAGCCATAACTAGTTAGCCCAATACCTCAGACTTAGCAGAGAGCTTTCCAAGGAGATCTCCAAGTGTTGTGATGCGCATCTCATGTTCTTGATGTAAAGCTAGAAAGTTAGCCTTAAAAGAAGAAAAAGGAATTGTGCTGAGTACAAACAGTATAAATAGCTTTTTTCCCCTCCTTTTTCAAAGTAAATTTTTTCTTCTAAATTTTGCTTATAACTTTCAAAAGGGCCTAATATCCTGCAGACTGTGTGAGAAATTATCACATTTGCAGTTAAAAAAGTGCGATTCTGCAGCATAGTGGGAGTTATACACCATAACCCTCTTCTTTCTTAGCAGACCCTCCTATATCTTTTTTCTCTATATGTAACTGCTTTCAGTGATGTGAGACTATTTTAGCTTCCATCTTTAGCTTCCATTTAATTCCATCTATTAGAATTAAAAATTAAATTAAAAATTCTGTGAACAGTAATAGAGGAGGAAGAAAAACAGTGATTTTATTCCCTGGCATTTACTAATTATCAATTAATTCTATACTACAAAATAAAATGCAGAAGCCAGATCACTAATAATCTGCATTAACAGAGTGCTCTGATATGTTTCAGAAAGTAACGATGACTGATTTAGCTTTACCTTTTCTTCCTCTTTCATGTCTTTGAGATGCTGACTTATCACATTTTTTATCAGCGTCAATACTTCACTTCTGTCACTCATCTGGGCAACTTGATCTTGAAGCTTCTGGAGCAGAAGCATCATTTTGCTATGTTCTTCATCATGGCGATGGCATCTGTCAGACACGAAGGCCATTTGCTTTTCCAGCTCAGTTATACGACCAGAATCAAAGATATTTATGGTATCCTAAAGTATAAAGAATTTTTTTAATGTATAAAATCAAGATATTTTATTTGCATTACTCTTAGTAACAGCAGTTATTGTGAAATATTTAAGACACAGAATTTAAAAACGGTCCTAAAATATATAAAGGCTCTTCTTTACTGTTCTCCCTTACCTTTGGAGGCTGCACAAAATGAGAAGAATCTGGTTGTGGTTTCAGAGTTGAGTCATCTATTCTCTGCACTCTGTAATCTGTCCAGTTCAATGAAGGTAGTAATGCAATGAAGCTGTCAGACCCCCAGGACCACACACCTTTTGTGAGAGAGAGAGAAAAAAAAAAAATCATCAAAAAGGACATTTAGGAGAAATCTCACTGAGAGCTGCTTCCATCTACTCAGAACTGCTTCCATCTACAAGCAGAAGCTTTTACTTAGGGAGGCAGGCTATCTTGTCTTTACAAAGCACACAGTGCACAATATTCCACCCTCAATAAAAGCTAGCAATATGAGCTACTTCTAAAGGCTTTAGAAATTGTTAGGTCAAGTACCCAAGACAGTTGAGATATAGCAGACAGTGATATACAGCTTTGAATCAAATAACTTCTGCTTATATATCATATATCCTTAATCACATACTACTGCTTCCCTTGGGACCTAGATTTTACTTATCCAATAAGACAGGCCATGCTCACAGAATAAGAGATATTAAAACTTTTAACTTTTTATCTGAATAGAAAATATCTTGCTTTATATCCTATTTACTACAGATCATGTTGCATCATTATCTAGTAAAAACTGGAAGAATTTTTTGTTTCCATAGAAACAAGCACTTGACAAAGATTACACTTATTTTTGCAGTACCTTAGTGAGAAATACTATTTTCTATATTGGATAATTTTTCTCATCTTGTTCTTCTAGTACAAAGAATTTTGAGTCCTTACTGCAAGTTGATGAGAAACTTCAGCTTTCCTACAAAGAAGCTGTAAGATCTTTATGGCATGGAAAACAAAACTGCTCTTCAGATGTGGCCCGAATTCTTATGTATTTCAAAAGGGACAACTGGCCTGGAATATTGCCAGCTAAGCAGTCTAAGCTTAGCAGTGTTTCAAGAAACTAAAATCACTGTTTAGAATAAAGGAATGAATTAGAATATGCTGTTAAAGGGACTTAACCACCCCATTTTTATAGAGATTGACAACAGTTGATATATACATATACACACACACACACACACACACACACACACACACAGAGCCTACTCTGAGTATATATATACACACCATATTCTATATGGTATATACATAGCCTACTTTGAGCTCCCTGCAATTCAAGGAAGGGATGCAGGGGGTGTTTGACTACCAAAATTCAGCCTTTTGTGCTTTGTCTTCTCTGTAACTTGAAGCTCAATCAAAAATGCTATTTGGGCACAACAATAGTAAGCCTACATCAACTCACACTACCAGCTGAACAATTCACCTACCTAGTAAAAACAGCAGTGGGATGAGAAACAGTAACAGCTTGAAAATATTTGGAAGGCATCTAAATAAAGAGATAGAGAAAGCTTACATTAAATAAAAACACATTTGTCATTTTTTTTGTTTACAACTGGGTTAAGAATTTGCGTAAAGAAAATGCTTTTTGGCAAAGGATACATACCTTCTAACAAGAAAAGTACTGAGCAAAGACACCAGAGTAACAAGCTGATACCATCCATTTCTGAGCCACCTGAACACACTAGAGGCTGCCCTCCCTACGAGATAAAAAGGGGTAACATGAAATGTAATCACTGCAGCTCATGCCAGAGGAAAGAGGAAAAGGGACATGCAGCTGTGGCTGAGACTGCTTTGCAGAGCAGAGAAATGGATGAGTACAGGTAACACATGCAGCTTAACATCTAGACTTGTATCACAAGTATGACAGCATTATAACATCAGCTACTCAACACAGACAACAGCCATGCAAAAAAATGAAATGCTCATTTGTTACGACAGCATCCTCTCGCATGAAATTGTCTCAGTGTTTGAGCCCAAGCCCTCTGACTGAGGGTTTCAATATATTTCAGTAAGTGCACAGATTAGCACCAGTTTTTGCTAAGAGGAATATCCTGATAGGAAATTACTACCAAACCAAATACACCCCACTGGTCTTGGGGACTCATTTTCTGGGCTACCCATATATTTATTTCCTCAAGTTTCCCATTTATGCCTGTGAACAGAAGCCCTCACATTAAGCACCTTTCGGTCAATAAAGGAAGTGTATTAGCATGTGCATTTCAAAGACTAAAAGCAACATCAAGAACACAGCCGAATTAGTTGTAAGCCACTTATTGCAGACTCCTAGTTTGTCAAAAGACACAGGCAACATGCACGCACACAGATCAGGATAGTAACCTGAGGAAAAAATGGGCAGCCAAAGTAGAGACAACACCTTCTGAGACACAAGCCATCCAGTTGCTCCCACTGTTCGCAACATGTGAACTATAAAGCAACCTAGATCATGACAAATTAATTGTATGTGGTAACAATACACAAAGGAAACGATGTTTATTTTTTGCAGCACAGAGTAAAACTGAGGTTCAAGCCCCAATCACTACATGTTCTGCACAAACCTGTTACCATATCCATCAGTAAACTATAAACTTGGTTCTTCAATATTTATTTACATATATTAAGCATAACCAAGTAAATTTGGACAAAGTATCCTCATAAACATTAGCATTTGTGCATTTAGAATGCCAGTTTTCCACATCCAGAAGATTTACATTTCGTAGTATTACATTGCCAGGTATGCATACTATTTAAAAGAGATAATATTTTAAAAATTCAATGAAAATATTTAAAGTATATTATTTAAAACACATTTTATTTGCTTTTGGTTAAAGTTTCAAACCCTAATCAAGGAACTACATCAGTAAGAAATACTAATAAGTAACACCAAACACTGCCACCTATAGAAAATGTTACAAGCAGCAAAATAACTTTTAATGAGAAGTGAATATTCCAAGGAACTACAGTATGCCAGTTCTGAGACTCCTAAAAATGCTATAATTTAAAGCCCACTGAAGCCAACAGTTACTGAATTCTAGACTACATCAGACTAGATTAGACTTTGTTCTACACTAAGTAGCATATACCTAGAAAGTAATCCTACATTTTTAGATTAGCAGAGATATCTCGGTTAATCTGAGGGATTATAGACATACCAACCCAATATTTTGCAAAGCATTTAGGTGACTGAAGTGTTTCAAAGCATTTTCTTTTGCTGAATAAAGAGCATTCAACAGATTCTTGATGTCTCTGTCATTCAAGCTAGGGAAGGATGATCTCACAAGGAAGAGTCTATCACTACATAAGATGCCTGTAAAAATTGACTATCACTAAAACAGAAATAAACAGAAATAAAATCCCTTTATTAAGATAACCTGTATATCAATACCTTCATACCTTGCTTTCATTTAAAGTCAGTTTTTCCCCCACCATAAAGGGTACAGACTTTCCTGAAGTGCAACAAACTAAGAGACCTGAATTATATTCTACAATTTGACTTGTTCTTCCCAACACAAGTGTCTATTAACACACTTACTAATATAGATAAGCAGTCTCACTACCTACCAAGCTTGTATAAGGCCAGTATCACTGCAAGAGTCAAAGAGGAAAAAAAAATAGTATGTAAATGTATTTTTCTAGATATTTCAGTTTAATCTACTTTGATAGATGTAGTTAAGAAGAAAAAAAATGCAAACTAACACAAATTATTAATATAAGTGAGATTGTGAAGTAAAATAAAAGCAAATGAAAAAAGATCCAAGTCAACCTGCATAAGAAAAGGTGTGCCAAATGGTCCTTGCTACCCTTTTAGCCCATGAGGATTGCATGTGGTCTGTGGTGTGTATTTCAAGATGTTTCTTCCCCTTACAGTCATCACCTGTTGGTTGTGGTAACAGTCAATTAATGCGACGAAGCCAATATCAAACAAAAAGTGTTATAAGATCAACTTGAATAGGTCTATTTCATATTATCACTTATCAAACCAAGAACCATTAAGCAAATTTAAATAGAATAATACTCATCTAGGACAACTACAATTTATCAGGTAACTGCCTTTTTTTTTTTTTTCCTCCTACATCTAAAGTTAGGAAACAAGAGGGTACTTTATAGCTTCCATAGACTCATGGAGCATCTGACATTACCCTGGCAATACTGCAACATCCAAGAGTCCAGCCAAGATTAACAGAAAACAACAATTGCTCTACTTACATATTGATTCCTCATTTACACCAAGACGGCTATTGTCTCTAAAAAACTCCTTTACATTCATGCTTCCACAGTAATCCGAGTGAGCTGCAACACATTAAAATATATATATATATACACAAATATATATACATACATACACACACGTTTCTCTCAAGTTCAAAATCTTTCAGATACACAGATTTTAACTAGTGGTTTAGTTCTCAATCTAGTTGAAGATCATTTAAGTGAAACGCAAGAAGTATGTAAAGATGGTTGTAAAATAAGCCTCTTCTGTCCAATCACACTTTCTTATTTAAAGATGACAGAGCCTTACAGCTCAGCACCCTTCTGCTCTCCACTCTCCAATAACAACCTCGAGTTCAATTTTCTGGTTTTGCAAAAAACGCCAGAGCTTGGCATGTGATACTTGGCTTTTACATGCCTAAAAAGAGACCATTATTTAATGATTTTGGTTTATCATATTCTAAATTTTACACTAGTCTGCACCATCTTTAGACTGGAAATTTTGGAAAAATTCCAAAATCAAAGTGGATGGAAATTTTGGTAAGATCTTGCCTGAAAGGTAAGAGAAAAAATATTCAAGTGTAAGGCCCATTCCTACGGATAATTGGAAAGTTAATCTTGAATTCAGAACAGAAATAAAGTGCTCGTTATGTGAAGATGTGTAGATAAAATATATTCACTTTAAAATCTCTTTAAATGCTTTAAGTAAGTAGCTAACTAAAAACAAAACTTCAGTTAAAAAAATAAAACCATCAAATCCTAAACATCTATTCTCATTGTAGGGCCAGGTTTCACCTCTCTGTGTTGCTTCTTAGACCAGAAAGCATCAAGAAGTTCTAAGATATCAAGGCAAACAGAACAAGAAGAGACATAGAAAAAGTTTACACACACAAGCTCCATATGCTTGACCAGAACAGTTAAGCTGTTGTAGACAGAAGGTAAGAGCAAACACCAAAGAAAAATCAAATTTTTTCAAGTAAGGAAGTGTGCCTAAGCACAGGGATGACTTCAGCTTTACTTTTCAAGGTAAATCTAAGTAAAGCTTTACATACACAATGGACATAAGGGTAACAAGAAGCCCACTCTGAGGACACTGGAAAGCTAAGATTTGACAGTATTACACAAACCAGTTTTTATAAACCAACTTAAGATTCTCAACTGAAACGTTACCTTCTGGTATTTCCTAGAGAAAATCCACATGGCAATCCATGTTCTCTCTGTAGAGAGAGAATATGTGGAGGAGGAAAGAGGGAAGAAAGGGAAAGCGTGGAAAAGTTAGCACAATTGAAAGAGAGAAGAGAAAAAAGGGAAAAGAAAATAGCCAGCAGAACGACTATAAAAAAAGATGCAGAGAGGCGCACAAAAGGTTCACTGAAGTCAGTAAGAAAAGAGCTATGCAAAGATAAATCCAGAGTGAAGCCCAAGCTCGACAACTGAAGAGGTACCTTTATGTTCATAACCCAGCCTCAGCAGAACCATTTGAAATAGATGCACTAAGAGTGATGCGAAAGATGCTGCAGTATGTTTGACCAATCGCAGAATCTTACTCATGTAGAAATAGGTGCCTCCTATTAAAGAAAAAAAAGCAGGTGAACATGAATTACTCGCCTACACGAAGTTGTACTTCTATCTCTTGTGACAATTAGCTATCAGAAAAGTGAGGCTGAAGAATCCAAAGCTTTTGTTTAGTCAAGACTAGGAAGCTTAAACAAGCATGACAGAAAAAGTCTGGATGCATTAGATATTAAAGCAAAAGCTTTTGCAAGAGCTACACGCTGAATAAAATGCCTTCAAAACAGAAATACTGCTTCAGCAAGAATGTCTTAGTGAGAAGGTTTTTTCTTTAGTGAAGATTAAGAACCCTTAATAGCAATGAATCACTTCTTACAGAACTCGGGACTTCTCAATTATTTGAGCTGTTTCTATTGACTTCATGGTTCGCAGCTCAAAGGAAATAAGAGGCATAAACTACACTCCTGTTTCAGGCTTAAGAGAAAGACCTTTTCACTTCTTCTCATGTTTAAACTAGAAGAAAGAAGTTACTGCAGTAGCCTGCCTTAAGAGTTATAAGAGTTATTTTCTATTACATCTTCTCCTTTAGAGAGCATTCAGCAGGAAGAAAGTCACAGTTCTCCATAGTGCTGCACTCATGGAACCGGTCACATTCCAGAACTTGCTGTGACTGTGTCCTTCCCTCCCACAAATTTAACCAGGCTGCTGGATTAAAGTTTAAAAGCCATATAGAAGGAAGGGTTCACTTGCAAGAGTTTCCTATGCAAATACAAAGCATTTTGCAGCACTGAAAATGTGCCTCTTGAAACTCTCATTGTGTCAATACAGCAGAAAAAAAAGTAGTGTAGATAAAGAGAAATAAATGCCTCAAAGCCTTGAAAGCCATGCCTTACAGTTCAAACAAATACATTCTTACAACTTGAAGTCTCCCTGAACTATTTGCACTCTAATTAAAGACCACTGTTAACAGGGAGGAGGGGAGAAAAAAAAAAAGAATCAAGATAAACACCATACACCTTCACGTTTGTCCCTAAAGACTACCAATAATCATGAAATTCCAAGAAGTAAGCTGACACAGTCAAGATACTGAGGCAATTATCCAGAGAAATAAGATGGCCTTGGAAAGGCAGAAACTTTTTTAAGGCAGATTCATTAACTTTCAGGCTTTAGAAGTGTAGCCTCCAATGGAAAGAAATCATTTTTTTTCTTCTCCACAGTTCACCTCTAATATGCTGAAGTTTAAATGCCCTAACACTCCCCCATTCTCCCCTCAAAATAACACCAACACACATCAGAGGTAAGGAAGTATCCTTATTTCTGAGATAAAAGTAACACTGCAAAGTAACAGTTCTGCTCAATCCAGAAAGTTCCGATCATTTAAGGAAAAGAATCAGACTGTATAAAGCAGATTTCTACGAGAAAATGCTGGTCAAGAACCCGGTGGACAGACACACTGTTTTAATACCAGATTAAGAGACCCCCACAGTCTGTACCGTCTGGAACAGTACATAGTGTTCCACATCATTCCGAACCTATGAAGATATTATGGAACCAATTCTGCTATTCCTTAATTCCTACAACATCATGAAAAGAAACATAGATAGCTGTGTATCAGAAGCTGACGACATCAAAGCCTCCACTGGTTTGAGGAAAAGTTATTTCACAATAAGATGATCTTTATAATTCAATTATTGATAAATTTAAGAGGATGGAAAAAATGCTTAACACTATTTCAAAAACTGCATCAATTACAACGTATGCCATTCTGACACAAATATAAAAGAGCAGAGAAGAATACTTACTAGATGCATGTTTCTGGCTTCTATCCCTGGAGTAAATTCTGGAAGATGGCACGTGTGAAGCAGAGTAGGCTGTAAGAACCTCCTTCCGCTCAGAAAGCATGCTGCAGTCACTGCAAGTATAGCCATTGATCACTGCAGTCTGCACTTCTGCTGGTGCTACCTCACCATTCCCCTGCATCAGGGTCGTTTCACTACCTAGCAAACCAAGAGTAGGACATTCAGTGACAAACTATGTTGCTAGTCACAGCAAACAGAATACTCGTGAAAACAAGAGGACTGTGTAGTTACCTTTAGGGTCAGTGTCATCATCAAGACCTTAAAAAGGAAAAAAAAAAGAAAAATGTTTGCTCCCAAGTATAATGAAATTCCATACTCAACTATGACATCTGACACTGAGTTAAGAAATCAGCTTTTTAAGACTGTAAAGAAATTCCTCATTATAAAGCAACTATAACAGCTTAATTTTGCAGCCCACCCCTTCCCTAGATACACATAAATGGACACTAGTGTAGCACGCCAACAGTTAATGAAGTTTTCTATAGAATAAGTTGCAGGAGAAAAACATCAATGCCAAACAGCACAGCCAGCTCCCATGTGACTTTACAGCAGCTAATTACCAGCTAGAATCATCTCTGTTGCTTAGTAACCACTTTGTCACTACTGTCTTTTAAAATCCTTTTCTAAAACCTGAGTGTTCTGAAGTTTAGCATCCATCTACTGAGATGGAAAGATTCTGATGACCTCCCCTGACACTAACATGGGATGTACTAACTAGAAACAAGAAGTCCAAATCGGGGAATATAACTCATTATCTCCTCCCAACCAGTTTTTAATGGGGACAATTCCCACAGCTTCTATTTGCTAAAAGAAAAAGGAGAAGGTGGCTCCAGTAAAGCCTCCAAACTCACAATCACACACACCTTCTAGGATATTTTAAGAGGCTACTAATTTGGAGCTATTAGGATATATCAAGGCTGAACACACTGGCTTATAAACAAACAAGATAGAGTTTCCTTAAACAACCCTAAGGAAAAGTACCAATTCCCTGCTTACTGTTCTTTCAATATTGTACATTATGTACATTTTGCAGACAGTGATAAGAAGGATCAGATGAAATGCAATTGTAAGAACTAAGTCCATGCTGTGTCTACATTTCTGTTTGGCATATCAATTTGACTGTAAAACGTCACTTGATGTTTACAGTGCCACCAAAATCAAGAACGGGAGTTTAAGTGCCAGACAGTGAGTTTTCAGCAGACACCTCAGCAAGCAAATGTCTAAAACAGAGTGTAAATAAGTGTGTTTGGGTAAAGGATGAAGAAATGAGTGTGTAAAGGAAGACATGGACATACACCCTCCACGTGCCAAACCGGTTTTTACACCATTTGAAATAAGCAAGAAAGCTCATTACCCACCCCAGAAATGATCAACTTCAGTCTGCTCTCGAATCAGAGATTCATCCAATACAGTGGACACCATCGATGTGTCACTGGCATGGCTATTGAAACTGCTTTGGCTAAAAATAGAAGAGCTGGAAAGATTTCTCCTTGGTGTATGTCTCACAGAGCCAGATTGTTTATTCATACTTTTACGCTGTTTCGACATCCTAGGAAACAGAAAGCAAATACAAAAAAGATAAAGCACTAGAGATACAAATTTCTGTTTCTCATTAAATAAGTGATAGCACCATCAAGGTATTTTAGCACTGATTGGACCTCAAAGCCAGGTCAAGAAAATCCTCACTCTTATAAATTTCTACTTACACAGAGATTTTATTGTCAACTGCATACCTTCAATACAGTAATTTTCAAGATATGACAGTAAACACTAAGAGTGAAACAGTTAATCCCTTACTGTATTACTACATTCAAACATCAAACCTCAGTCATGTTTCACATAAGTGTAAACTCAAGACTCCAACCAATAAATCAGCTCATCTTCATGAAAATAATTGCTTACTTAGAAGACTGTTCTCTGAGAGAGAGGTTTCCAGCATAAGAGCCGTCATGCAGGGTATCATTTCGGGCATCATCCGATTTACTGAAGCCCGCAGCAGCTAACCGTAAACTACGCCGTGACATTCGTGGTGAATCAAATACTGGATCCAATTTGTGTTCAGTCTCAAAATCCAAAGCAGCTGAAGAATAGCTTGAACTAAAAAAGAAAGTAAAAGCAGCAAAGTTAGCAGATTATAGAGGAAGTCCTTATAGGAACAAAAAAGTCATTCATTTCAGCCTGGATTTTCATTTAAAGCAGTTTATCCATGCTTATGCAGTAAAACTGACAACATACACCACATACTCCTAAATTATTTGGGTTATGCAGATATTGAAAGTTTTCCTATGCAATTCATATAACAACTTGAATAACTCAAAGCAAATCACAGCTAGAAGGAAATAGCTACCATGGAAAACGTGTTTGAAGTTGAGCTAGAACAAGCATTACACAATCTCTCAGACACATGCACTGCACATTTGGGACCAATTTAAAGGATGAAGCCATCCATGGCACAAGTTCTCTTCACCACGCCTAGAAACAAATTAAAATTCATCATGTACCATAAGATGCAAGGGAAAATTCCGTGTTTTTATTCAATAAGAGATCAATTTTTGTCTGCTAACTCCATATTTTGACAGTCAAAGATTCATATGACAAGTTTAGTTTGAATTTCCAGCTCCAAGCAGTGGGGAGCTCCCCTTTGATATATTTAAGGACTCCTCCGATCCAGCTAGACACAGTAGCTTAACACGCACAGAAAAAGGGGATGGATGAAAGGTTGAAACTTTCTTAACTTAGTTCGAAGTCAAGAAATATTTAAGTATGTCCAACATTACCTTCCCAGCACTCAGGCACATTTTACATTTAATTCTCTCAAAAATCTTCATAACAACTAACAATGAGAACCAAGAGGCAAGTTACAGAAAGACACAAGAAAGAATTTGTAAGATTAATTAAACAGTAGTTATTTAGACTAAAGCACAATCCTTGTATATATTGTACATACAATGTAAGGAAACATTCAATCACATAAGCAATTGCAATCTGTCATGACACAGTAGGAGGAGGCTTGGTGCCACAGCTGCTGTCACTGAAGGTATCCAAACATTCCGTTTCCTGGACCACCAATTGCTGACAGTCCAAGTGTTTTGGGCTTGCTTTCCAAGGAAACTCCTGTTCCAGGCTGGACCACTGTGATATTACAGTCCTGCAGAGCTTCAGCTTCCCTGCGCCCTCACAAGCAATGTGTATGGTACTTAGAGCTAACTCTTCTCCCCCAAAACCCAAGCAATCAAATGAATCTACTGTGCTATCTGTATTTGAAATGGAAACTTTGATACCTTCCTGGGAAACAAAACAAGCACACCTACAATTACTAGAAATGGTACTAGAGAAGAAAGGGTCGTTTTGATGCATGGGATTTTTTCACATAATCGGCTAAAAGGATATAAAACCAAAACAGATTATAAAATAATACGAAGTTGCTAAACAATGATTATATTTATTGCTTTAAACTTCAAAAAGCCAGCACCAACTTTTACATAATTGCATTATTTTGGCATATAAACTAGCTAACATTAGATGTTCTAGTAGCTACATTTACCATAGTGATTAATTTCTGGCAAGATCAGTGCTTTTGAAGCAAGTTTCCTGATTGCTCTACAACAGAAATGTGAATGCATGAGCCGGGGCAGGCTCAGCACACGCAAAACACACCTCTCCTGCCTGGAAAACCAACACAGCAAGACAGTGCAGTTGCTGGTGAGCTCCAGCTGCTCGTGGGCAGCCAGCCCACTGGACCACACGCCAGAGCTAGTCCAAAGCAATCCCTTGTCTCATCTGCCCCAAGGCATGTGGACTCAGTGCCAGGTATTCAGTACCACCTGCTTGACCTGCTGGACAGCACTGCTTGCTAACACAGCCCTGTACACAGCAGAAGTCTGACTACAGCTTAGAGCTTACTTTAACGCTTCCCTCTGCTTTTCCCTGCAGAAAGGACAGCAGTCAGAGAGGAGTCTGCTCATGTTTAAAAAAAAAAAAAAAAACCCCACACAACACAGATTCAGTTTCATTTCACGAGGTACAGAGAATATAGTTTTGTGGTGGTTTCAGAAGGTTCGTGCCGCTCGTATTCTGCTTGATGTGAACTGAGGACAGTGGTTAAATATGGCCCTTCCTGCTGTTCATTCCTTCATTCTCAATAGTTTATTATTGAACCGAGTCCCTCCCTAAACAGTTGTTTCAGAACTCAAATTTGCTATTTACACTTGCCACTATACATTTGTTTTTTCTCATCTTCACCCAGCAATTCGTACAGATACTCAATTCACGAGAACACAACATACAGGGGACAAACTGACAGCTGTAACCTGCCTCAATGGGCTTCTCCTTGCGAACACTTGCTCTGTCTCAAAGAGCATTTACATCAATTCCAGCCAAATACCTCGCTTGGAGCTGGGTCCTACAATTTAAAATATCAGGCTATCTTCTCCTCTTTAAAACAAGGAGAGTTTCTCTCTCATGCAGGACAGTAATTCTTTTCATAAGGAAATGTGAAGTCTCTGAAATTTAGACAGTATGAAGTCTCCTTATTTTCTACGCTGTTTTTCACATCTTGAAAAAGCATCTTTTTCTCCTCTGGGAAGAATCACTGGATAAACATGTCTGCCCTTTGATAGGGCATTTTCAGTAGACATTTTTATTAAGGTCTACCTAATGCATATGGCCAGCCAAAAGCCACATAAAGATGGGATGCAATCAACCTACTTCAGCCTATGCCCCTGGCAATCTATGCAAACTGCGAGTCCCACCACCTCCTGTGGCTCACGCCACAACTGCTGACTGCATCTAATCTTCATTGCCAGTTCCTTCCTTCACATCAGCTTCTGCAGAACAAAAAGTGTTCTGGACTTTGGAGGGTGAATTCTCAAGTTACATCTACTTAAGGGGAATGAGGTCTGCCATTTTTAGCACACATACAGCCCGGTCGAGAGGACATCAAGTCTTATTTACTTTGCAGGCTTGGAACAGAGTGGACAAGAACATTCAGGATTATTTAAGACAGCTATAGACAAATGCAAGGCACCTAAACAGCTCGTTTTGTCTTATCAATTTAAGGCTTTCCTGATTTGGGCTAGAAGCAAGAACTAGAGGCATACAAACAGTTACGAACACACAGTAATCCCTGTGAGTATAAATATAAATTCTATTAATAGGTTATATCCAAACCTATTAATAGCTTCGTAGTATTCAACTCCTCTGTACTTTTCTGTAGTGCCACACGCACAAGTAAACTTCTTTAGAGAAGCTCACGGACAAACTTTGCGGTGAAGCTCCTTGAACTGTCAAAAGGTGAACAAGTCAAATCCCAGGATAAGCAAAGTTAATACAAAGGAAGGGGACAGAGAAGAGAATGAGGTAGAAATAAAGCGAACACTGGCAAATCTTGACACAAAAGCACATCCAACTGGCAACTTAGCCCCATTCACTGTTCTTCAGGTGAAGGGGTGAAACTCACCCAAATATTGTTTAACTTGGAAAAACCACATGAATAAGCTGACATTCAGCAAATATCCAGCAGACAGACACAGATATGGAAGTATGTTAAAAGACCAAGCAGTCTATTCTCTTAACATGCTTAGTAAGGAGCATTGCATAGTCCCTCTTTTTAATATATTGTGATTCATGGAATTTTCAGAGAGGAAATTTTAATTGAACACTTGCTAGTCTTCCAAGAAATACTTAGAGAGAACAGCAAGAGAACTTACTTCAATTTAGTTTAAAATATACCTGCCTTCATTAGGTCAGTCATTAAACTACAGCTTCTCTAGCTCTATCTATTTTTAAGTACCTATATCTAATGCACAGCTCAACACAGAAAATGAGAGGCTCAGAAGCTTCAAGAAATGGAACCCTCCCCTCCTACAAAAGCTTCTTCACAAGTTCGCAGCTTTGCAATGTGACAACCTCCATTTATGCAGGAAGCCAAACACTTCAGCTATTTTCTACATCCAAAGTAGCAAAGTCAAAATGCACTATACCCCAAAATTCAAGTGGGATCTATCACTCTGCATCTTCCTTTCCCTGACAGTTAAGGCAGCATTCTGGTCTACTTTGGTGAGAAATGAACATGCCACAATAAAAATAAATAAATAAAGACGACTGAATAAAGGAAGAAGGACAGATGAGAGGGGCTCTAGTTCCAAATGAGCCTGAACAAGCCATTGAACTTTATTTTTCTAATGAATGCAGGTTGTGTTTTTTTTTTTTTTTTTTTTTTTTAAAGCAGAATAAGACTTACTATATCAACTGGGGGAAAGATATGTGCTGTGCAAAAGACAGTCCATCTAAACAAACTATGACCATTTTAGACAAATAAGACAAATAATCAGGAAAAGAGCAGCGATAATTTCACAACTCATTTTAGGAAACATAGAGATAGGAAAAAAAGAAAAACCCTATATCTAAAGATTCAAGGTCTACATTTGCTGCTTATCTCCTGCGGGTCTACATTTGCTTCATATCTCCTGTGATAAAAGCATTTCAGTCAATATATCATGCATTCACAATGCAAACCTAGCATCTACAAAGGAGAAACTCCCTTTTCATTTAACACAGTGATAAAATCACTGGAAGCATCGAGACCTGCTGGATGATGAAAGGCACGTAAGTCATCTCCCACTGCCCAGCAGGTTCTTCCGTAAAAATCACTAAACACACTTTCATTTAATCAACATCTTATCAAAAGATGTTTTCTAAAACTTCAAGAAGAGCTACAACTTCATTTACTATAATTAGTACAATGATCATGTTAAGACTTCCCTTTTGCTATACCATCAATATAATAAAAAAAAAAAAAGACTCACACCAAAACTGATAAAAGTGAATAATCTTAGCATAAAGAAGAGCTAATATTGCTCAGTAATATCTAATACTACAATCTTGATGACTTTTGTTCTACGGATAACCGAATATTTTCCAATTTAAATACATATTAAATGTACAATCATGATTTATAAGCACAGAACAGAAAAAAAATAATGTCATGCTTCATTTAATTATCATGCTTATTTTTAATCTAAAAACTAACCTAGCAATAACCAGGCACATCTGCACACATGGATAAATTTTAATGCAAGTTCCCCCCATCAAGACACTAGATTTAATCATGAGTATTCAAATATTCAAATTGTCATCCACAGATTTCTTTTGAATAGCGTAATACAAAAACTAGCAAAGACTCAAGCTATTTTTAGAAAAGTGAATTTCTTTATGAAAGAGACCAGTAGTCATAGGTTTAAACAAGAAGACACAAGAGTTCATTAGAATACAGATGTTAGTCACACAGTAAGCATTTCTTCTAGAACATTATCAATAAGTTACTGCCAGCCAAATTGCACACCAACAGTGATGAATGCCTACTAATCAATGTTTTAAAGCAAAAAAGTGGCAAATTACCAGAGTAAAAACATATAGAGCTTACAAGACATAAGAGAAAACACTTAAGAATTTTGACACCACTTTTATAGAAATAAAACACCAACTGTAACTAGGTGGAGACTACTTTATTCATAGCAACTAATAAACACTGAGTCATTATCTTAGTCATTGTCCTGTTAGTTCAGGACGTATTTTCTTCTCCACTTAGGACGCAGCAATTATTTTCAAACAGAGACTAGATAGAGTTTACTTCTTTAAAGAAATACCATAAAAGCAAAACATTCTGAAAATAACAGCATTCAGAGAACATGTAGCTTCTCTACAAGAAAAATAAAGTTCTCACCTGAGTGCATACGTATAGCCAGTGTTCTCTGGCACACATTGGGGAGGGGTGTACGTGTGTAGGCGTGAAAAGTCCATGTTGACTGTTTCAAATCATACTGCAAAAGGTGAAAATAAAGTAATGCAATGACTTAAAAGTATTTAAAGCCAAGGTAAGAGCCCTTGCATCCTTCAGCCTGTGTTATGAAGTACGCAGTAGTAAAAGCTACTGCTGCAAGAAATGTGGAGCTCTCAGCAATATTAATGCTTCTCCTGGGTGACTCTTACTGCTGCATGGCGTGCAGCTTTTAATTTCTGAGTGCTTTTTTTTTAACCCTACTCTATTTTCAGCAATCCTGAGTTCTCTGAAACACTGCTGCAAAATAGGCCTCACTCTTACCACTACCAAGCTACGCTTCTGTATGAGAGTTGTGCTGCCCTCCTACAAAATAAGCATAAAGACTTAAAATACACCCAGTCATGTTTTCAGAGGGCTCTTTATAAACAGTGACTTTTTCTTCAAAGACCTGTCATTGCTGCAACCAGCACAGGCTGCTCTCTGCACTTAAAATGCCTAACATTGCCAAAACTTAAACATTTACATACAGGGAAATCTTTTTCTTTTATAATCTCTGGACATCATCCACTAAGCAGTAAGGAGACTCCTTGCATTTCAATATGAAATGCAATATTTGGCACCAGTTACGTTATTCTACTACAGAAACACTGAACACACACCCAAACAGAAAAGCCAGCTTCAAAATGACTCACATAGTTTGAATGGGGTACATTTTCCAGGGTGGCATTCATTTCAAAAAACAATGCTCAAACTTTCTTTGGGCTCTTTGGAACATGCTATGGCTTTAGGAAGAAAGTAAAAATTGTTGTTGCCATATCAAGAAACTTGTAGAACTGTATGAGTGACTATTTGTAGCACCATGAAGATTTTCCAAGTACAAAGTATTTGCAAAAAAAAAATATATATATATATATACACACACACATATATATGCATGCATTGGACAACCCAAGAGAAAGAAAATTTGCTTTTCTAGCAAAATTTCGTAATAGACTCTTTGTGGTTAGTAAACAAGAACTTTCACTATTCTGGATTTAAGCTGAATTTTGGCTACTTTGGGATTATCCTGTAAGAGCAGCAGCAGCCAGCATACTAGTGTACATAAAAGATATTCGACACAACTCCGTCAATGTGCCAAACTAAAATCAAAACATCCTGGGATAAAACTTATAACCAAAACATCAACATATATCTCATTTAGAAGATGCACTTCTTTGCAACGAAACAGGAGTTTTCAGTTGGATAATATAAAGATGACAAAAAAAGCACAGCCACAGGTAGCAGAAATGCCAGTTCAAAAAAATGTCTGCACATAACACTAAAATACTTTGTCAGTTTCCTTGTCTCCAAATCCTGATGTTTGTAAGGAGGACATCATCTCAGTTACTGCTTTAAAGAGTTTTGCTCTTGTTTTAAGTTAAAGCTTACAGGCCCACCTCTTCAAATGCAAGTACGTCCCATGCATTTGTTTGGGTAAGCAGAAATAAGGTCTCGTTTCTGCTACTTACATGATAGTTTCTGAGGACTAAAGAGCAAGCATTTCCATTATGTGATATTTAAGTTTGCTTCATGTTTCACCTAAAATTTGCTATGGAATTTTTTTTAAACCTTGCTATTAGTTCAACAGACTAATTTTAGGTATCCATTTCTTAAAAAAAAAAAAAAAAAAAAAAAAGGAAAGAAAAGAAAAGAACAACTCTATTTATAAACATTCCACATACTATTACAAGCAGAACCTTAAACAGAACAGATCAGGGGTGGGTGGAGAGCAGCAAGTCTCCCTAATTTGTTTCTGCATGTTTATGACAGCACTCTACTGCTCACATAGTCCATGAATTCTTCTCGTTTACAAAACTTAAACATGCAAACTTGGCACAGAACCAGAGAGGCACACTTTGTACCCAGTTCTAGTTTCAACACTTTTGAGAGCCCACCAGATTTTTAATTTAGCTACCCCAAGACTGCCTGGCATCAGATTCATGCAGGCTTTTATTAACAGCTTTGTTGCAAACCTTATTGTGCTCAAACTTTAATCCTCCTTCCTTCTTTAGCAAGCCCACAAAACACTTTAAGGTAGGAAAGGATGTAATTTTTTTTTTAAATAGCAAGAATATGAGAACATAAAAGCAACTGCGAAGCAGCATAAAAACAAGCAGACATTATACAGCTCAACCATCTATCATTGCTCCTTAGCTTACAAATTAGCTTCCATGTTCTTACAGAGGACACAGCTGGATTAGTTACATTTTCTGGAGAAGGAGACTATGATAATCTTGTAAGAGCATCATTTTTCCCTTGCAAACCCGCTGTATCACTGTTATATTAAATGTGCACAGTAGAAGAGCAAGAGAAGAGACAAATTCTGAGCTGGCCTAAGTACAAGGGCTTCCCTAAACAGGGAGGGCAGCAGAATTTACCTTAGCACAGAGTCCTGGCTACCTCAAGAGGATGTAGAGCACAAAACAGTGACCTGAGGCCATAGCACTGCCCCATACTCTGTTTACCCGTCACAGAGGTGACCTGTTCATGTTCACAGTGAAACTCTACCGAGTTTCACCTCAGTGAAACTCTGGTACCACTGCAGAAAGCTTCACTGATGCTGTACAAGGGATATGTCCCCACAGGGGTCACTAGGTACAGCAGGGTCTTAAGAGGAGGGCAGTAACCAATATACATTGTACATACACTACAAGCGACACATAGCAAGGACAGTAAGAACCTCATTCATGCCTTACCTGAGGTACAAAAATAGACCTCCACCAATACACTATCTAGGCACTTCCTTACAAACACCCTGGTGACAGAGGAAGTGGCAATACCACCATTTCACAAACGGAAAACTGGCAGAACAGACATAGGCACCAGGGGGCCTGCTATTGAGCAGAAAATTAAAACCAAGTTTCTCAAGCCCCAGAAAACCGTTGTAATTACTGAACCATGCTGCAATTCCCAGATGGCAAAAGGGAAGTAAGCCAGGCTTTAACCCTCCCCCTTCCCAACAAAGACTAGCAGAGGTCCCTTCCAAACTCAACAATTTCATGATTCTGCAGTAATGCTGCTGCACTTAACCTAGTAAGGCTACAGGACAAGTTAGGAATGAGAAAACTGGCAAGAAAGTATGTCTTATTTTTTACATAGGGGTTTACAAGCAGTAAGTTTAAAACTGAGATGCTGATGGCACTACTTCAAGCAGAATCTATTCTATCCTTACCTTCCATTCAAGTCAATTCTGTTAAGTCACTATGACATATTAATGCCCAAAGCCTAAGCAGACTTTTGGACTAATTAACAGAAATGAAAGCAGAGAATATGACCCTATGAGTTCCGGAGAGCAAGGAAGTTGTACTTGGAACTTCAGACTTTATTTTCTATTATTCAGAATAACCAATAAAAGTTTTGATTAAAAAATATAGCAGCCAGATTAAATTGCTGTGTAAATACACTCCAGGAAGTATGTTTCCACATACCCAAATATGTGCAAGTTTAAACAGGCTGAAGAGCAAAGAGCTCCAAGCTATAATGACACACACAAAAAAAACCCCACACAAACACAGATAACACACGCAACTTTTAAAAAGGAATGCGGATCTTGTTTTAGAGATTCAAATAATAAAATTCACACTTTAAGCCAGATGCTGCCATTAAACAGATGTTAGCATGCAAAGAACCCCAGGCATGGTCAAACTGTAACGCCACTACCAAAACAAACAAAAAAAAAAAAAAACAAACAAAAACAAACAGAAAAGGCTTTCACTAAACAATAAAGCTGCACATTCACATCAGGTGCCATTTCAAGTGTCTTTCAGGCAGGAAGCCACACACAAACCACCCAAACGTGAATCCACCGTGCAACACGCCCGCTCACTGTTTGTACACCCAGCACCTCGGACGCTGCAGGGCAAAGCTCCGCGTCGCTCCTCGCGCCGGGAGCCTGCGGATGATCCCGGAACTCAGGAGCCTGCGGATGATCCCGGAACTCAGGAGCCAGCCGCGCTTTGCTGCGCTGCCCCCAGCGCGGGGCTTTGTTTACAAGCCGCCCCCCGACCGGTTACGCTGCTGTGGGGGGGGGGACAAAACAAGAGCTCCGAGGGGCCCCCAGCTCTAGCCAGGCCGCACGCAAGGCGCGAGCTCGGTGTCAAATCGTTACCAAAGCGGCGCCACGCGGCTCCCCACGCGCGTCCCGCCTCGGGGCCGGCTCCGCCCCGCCCCGCGCGAGCCCAAAATGGCTTCCCCGGCGCAACAAAGCCCGAGCAGGGGCGGGCGCCGCGGCGGCCTCGCGGGCCGCGCCGCGCGTTGAGCCGCCGCACGTCCCCGCCCGCCGCCTCCTTAACCCCGCCGCCTCCTTAACCCCGCGGCCGCCGCCGCAAAACTCCCGCAAAGCAACAAACGCGCCCCCGCTGCGCTCCTGAAAACGCCCGTCCCACCTCCCTAGGGAGACAACGCCGGTATTCACAGCCGAATTTCAACTGCGGCAAAAATCTGCCCCGAGCTCCTGCTCTTCCAGCTTCCTGACCCCAAATACATTAAAAAAGTCCACAACTTTCCCCATCGCTAGCTGCTGAACTAGGGAGACAGCTTAGCTCTCAGGATAACCCTGCCAGATATATCCCTGCCAGATTTGCTTAGCACACAAGTGGAAAAATACACCTGGACTGCTAAGCTTGTAAATAAAATCCCCCATGCAGATCACTCCCAAAGCAAAAGCCCACAGCTAGGATTTAACATATTATTATGCAAAGCAACATACATTACTAAAGCCCTACAGGTTAGGGCAGGAATTGGACACTAAGGTTTGGAAATTCAACAGAGGCATTAACCTCTAAGTGCCGTTTCAGAAGCATAAAGATAGAAAAAAAATAAAAATAATCAAGCGAGAAGAGATTTCACTTCCTGTTTGCAGGATGTTAATCTGAAAAACAGAGGGCCGGGCCAGATAGGGGGTTTCTTGGTACTGCAGAGTTACTCGCCCAGGAATCTGCTATCTAAGAGTTTCTATTCCTGCATGTTACAAAGCTCTTTTTCCTTCTGAAAAAAAAATGAAATAGGGCAAAACTAATTTTAGATTTATAATATATACTCTATATATTCTAAGAGGAGCATGACAGTTCTCAGGCCTCCGCAGAAGAGCATCTGCTGCCTGCTTAGGGCCTCGCTGTTCACCAGGTGCTTCCACCCCTGGCAGTTCCAGCACAGGCACCGAACTCGACCACGTCAATACAGCAGCTCCGCGATGTGCGGGCAGCAGCAAGACTAGGCGGCTCTCACGCTGCTCTGCAGCAGAACTAAGGAGAGTCAGTCACAAGGCAGGGCTGATGCTGACCTAGCCCATAAAATAAAATGAAGTAAAATGAAGTAAAATAAAATAAAATGAAGTAAAGTAAAATAAAATAAAATGAAGTAAAATAAAATAAAGAAGAGCTCTGCAGCGTGGCACGCCGAGCCCGTTTCTGAGGCGGTCACACCGTGCTAAGGCAACAACCGACGCTCTCCCACAATCCGGGGGGCGCCGAGAGTGGCGGCCGCCCCCGCAGGCCTCAACAGCGGGGACCCCCCACAGCCCGTCCCCGCAGCGCTGGGTCTGAGCGAAGGGCCGAGGAGGGGCCGGGTCCGGCCCAAGGGCCGCCGGCTCCGCGGCACGGCGGGGGCGCCGCGGCTCGGGCCGGCTCCGGAGGCGGGAAGGCGGCGCCGGGCCAAGGCGGGGAGCGGGAGGCGGCAGCCGCGGCCCGCGGGCGGGTGGCGGGAGGCGGCCGCGGAGCTCGCGACGGGGAAGAGCGCACGTGGGGCCGGGGCTCCCGGCGCGCGGTCGTTACCTGGCGCCGGCGGCGGCGAGGCAGAGGCGGCGGCAGCAGCAACAGAGATTCCCGTCGCCCCGCCCGCTTCCCCGGGGCCGCCGGGAGCCGCCAGCGCCTCTTCCGCGGCGGGTCCCGCCCTGCCCGCCCCGCCTCCGCGCGGGATCGGGCGCTCTGGGCCCCACGCGCGGCAGGCCTCGCGCTGCTGCTCATCGCCCGCGGGCCGCGCCACGCACCGCCCCCCTCACACGCGCGTGGGTCCTCGCACCCGCGCCCGGCCCACGCACCTTGTGCTGCCAGCCCACGCACAGCTCACCGAGCACTGTGACTGCCCCAAGCAGGGCCACAGCCACCGACACACAGTGCGCACACCTGTAGTGCCCCGCACACCTGTACTGCCCTGCGCACCTGTAC